TTTTTTCTTCATGAGTAGGGGATCCACCGAAGCAAGGGAAAAAATAGTGTAAAGACTCCTCCTCCTTTAAGAAAGGAGCGGCAGTTAACAGCATGGATGAACTGACCTGCACTCCCCATTCCCTGTACCCCTGTGCCGACGGGGGGAGGTTGAGCCAGGAACGAAAGGAAACGGGGTGGGGAGGTGTTGTTTTAAGATCTGGCCTTGTTTTCTCTTTTCTACTCTCAAGTAACCGGTTTCATTCCCTTATGTCTCCTGTTAAGTACCTGTTAATAAATTGTTTTGTTTTATGAAGAAAGCCTGAGTCATGTTTTGCCCGGGACCATGGTTGGTGGGTGCTCCCTCTCGGTTCTTGTCTCGACCCTCAGTCCAAAAACCACGACAACTGAAAATAGGTCTAAAGTAAGTTTATGCCTTAGAAATCAAGAAAATTGTGCTAGCAGCCCATTCCTTTTCTCAAGTGAGAAACTCCTAAGTGTTGCTCCTACTCTAAGGAGGGTTATTGTCCTTGGAAATAAAAGAGCTGGGATATAGAGGATTTGAAAGAGAAAGAATAAAATATCTCATCTAAGGAATAACCAGAGGGGGGGAAAAAGCATCAAACAAACCTGAATGTTGAATCCTTTTACAGAATTAAGTTTGGTTACCTACCAAAACAACCAGCAACTTTAAAGCGATGTAGTCCTTTTGGATTATGTTTTGTAGAAAAAGAAGGGTCTGCCAGACAATACAGAGATGGCCTACAGATGCCTCTTGAAAAGTCTCACCCACATTTCAAAATAAAAATTCTCACATGAACTTTAAAGAATGTTAGGAAAAAATCTGTACTTATTTTGAAGCTGGTGATCACATGTCTAGTTGATGCAGAAGAACTGGACAGCATGGATAACGAAGACGGTGTGTCATCTAATTAACTGTAATGTCATCTAATTTTTAAATGGGAAAGGGACAAGAATTTCAGTGTTCCCTTTTGAAAGTAATTTCACAGTACAAAGGTATCATTACGGGGAAACTGTTCCTGATTTGTAGATAGCCTACATTTCCCACTTACATAACTTAGCCAATAGATCTGGTCAGAATATGGTCAGATTTGTAAGTAATGTTCCTCATTTTTACTTTGTGACACACAAGAGAGGTTTTAAGCTTTAAAACTTACTTATCACTGAAGGCTATTCGTATTTCTATCCAGAATCAGTACTGTTTAGAATTAACAGAGGAAGAACGTAATTTCTTGGTGATCTGAAATTTCAAGCCAAAGAGAAACACTTCCATCTGCATTCTCAATTCCGCATGTAGGATTTTGGCCATACAGTCCTACACACCATGAATTTACATCTCTCTAGTCCATTTCCATACCTTGCTCAGGATGCAGCTGTTACAGAAATTTTACCAGGAGACAGGAAAGGGAGATTTGGTTGAACATGCACAAAGCCATCCTTTTAGATAAAGGTATCAGAAACAAGACAAAACTGTTGTTTTGTTAACTAGAAACAAAACAGTTTTCCAGAGTAACTTGAATTAAGCTTGCATAGAGCAAGACTTCGTATGCACAGCTGAAATAAGTATGCCTGATAGTGCTTAATGTGGTTTATGCTCAATCACAGTTGACAGAATAATAACAGCTTTTGGTGAGCCTTTTGAGCAGGCCAACTGCTTTTGTAATCCAGCTAAAATTTTTAACAGACTGGATAAATGGCTACTGTGAGTAAGCCAGCTTGTCTGCAACTGACTTTGTAACTTGCTGAATGAATGCTAACCACTGTGAAGGAGGGCAAACCCAAAGGCCCCAAAAGCCTTTTTAAACCTATGTAAGCATTTAAAGTCTTAGGGAAGTTTCATCCTTTCTACTGAAGCCAGTGGAGTTGTTACTGAGGTCCTCTTCTGCAGAAGCATGAGCACCCAGCACAGTGATGCAGTTCATTATCTGCAAAAGTCAGCAGGTACTGTCCCCGGAGTGGGGACAATTCTGGTGCATTTTTCTGTGCGCTCACTCATGCTAATGGGGGCCCCACTTGCCTAAATACTTGAAATTACGCAAGTGAGGTTATGGAGCAGATTTTCAAAACAAAGGGTCTGTGGGAGCTTTTTTATTACCCATATTTTCTTCTAAGTTCGAACACGAAGGTAGGTATTGATGCAGAAGAGCCCCCAACTACTTGTTTGCTTTTTAGTTTCAGAGAATATTCATGTAAGCTAGAGATTTGGAAGAAGGCTTTTCTGTGGGGTCTGGAGAGTGGTCCTGTCCTTTTCTCTCCCAAAAGAAAGGGCTATTTTAGGACATGAAGACGAATTACCCACTTGGTCTGCAGATAATTCAGATTAAACATCACATTCTGAAAACCATCCGTGGGTCTCTAAAAAACGTGCTTACTTCATTTGATCAATAACTGTTCTGAACAGAACAGTAAAAACTTTCTCAGTGTTCTAAGTTATAATTTCAAAGTATTTTTGATTAACTATCAATATCCGTTCTGAAAGTGCAATGCGGAGCTTAACTCACCTACCCCAGTAGTGTGGTCTCCTTTCGGTCCAGTGTAAGAAGTCGGAGTCGGACCCCTCCTCCTGTGCCAACTCCCACGACCTCTCTTCTTCTGAGTAAAAACACACTCATCTTTTTCAAAAGTACACTCTCCAGGATTGGGCAGCGATAGATCTATAAGGAGAGGACATTGTTTAAAACTGCAAATACATTAGACAGATACACGGGGAGGTTACACAAGCAATGTGCTGCATTTACTTACCTGCTGAAATCACTTCTCTCTACCTAGCAATACTTAACAGTAGTCACAAGCTTATAAAAGCTAACTTCAAACTGATGTACGAAATTTCATTTCATTTTCTTCACAGCTTTGGGGAAATCTGTACCCTAGCCTGGCTCACTAAGATGTACTCATATTCTTTAAAATATCTTGTACAGTTTATTACCTCATCATAGCTCTTACTCTGCAGTGGGCTCCACCAGTGTGATTTTCTTCACTACTGTGGCATCTCAAGCAGTTTAATGAGCTCCAGCATGTGTAACATGCATATTAATTGAGTCTTGTCAAAGACTGGCATTTCTGTGATCTAAAATCAAACACCACATTGAAGTCTCTTACGTTCCCTTAGCACAAGATTCTAGCACTGCATACAAGAGACCACAGAGCTGCAATTACTAGAGTATTTTCATTATTTTGGTTCTATTACATCATACAGACAACTCAGGTGCTTGCCAGGAAGCTTCTGTCAGGTCTTCTGCTATAATCTGAATTAGTAGTTCAGGAGTAGACACTCTGAGCTGCTTTCACCTTTTGGAAGGGAGGAACCCTTGATGCCTCACATTCTTCAGGGCATATTTCAGGCATTTTTTTGCTGCCATCAGTGACAAGTCCCCATATGACTATACACCCAAGTATCAGTTCTGCACCTGTGGTTCCTTTTCAAATTACTTAGGAACTACAGAAAGGCAAGACAGACAACTGTTGGAAATACTTCAGAAAAATGACATCTCATTTTAGAAATGTGACTTTTCTCTGTTCGGGAATGGTTAGCTGCCTGAATACATGAAATCTAATCAACAGAGGTCATCAAAAAGTTCTTATTACATAGGAATATAAATGGCATGGTAGAGCAGCCTCATCACCATTTCAAAGACATGGCTTTATTCCAAAGAAGAATGAGATTATAGATTGTGCCTGTCTCATGAGAATGTTTTCCAAATTAGGATACAATTATTACATTGTCAAACCTCAAAAAGGTTCCCCAGAAGAGGGAGTTTGAGTGAATTCAGAGAGGTTAGCCTGTGCATGTCAGAGGGTACAGTCTCACCCAAAAACATTCAATTTCTCCCACTACAGGAGGGAGAATTAGACTCATCTTACCTGTCTTCATTAGAGAACCACAGTTCAGATAAGGGACTGTGTCTTGGCCTTGCACAACTGTACTTCTGGACTAAAAAGAATAATGCTGTGTTTTGAAAATATTGCTTTTGGGTCCATTCCTGGTTTCCTAAAAACCATGTGAAAACAACCCTCAGTTGGACTTTTAAAATTGTAATGGCCCAAAAGGAACGCTCATCTATACACAACTGCACCGGAGTCAGTGAAGTTAATTAAGCATTAACTGGTATGCCTATGAACAAAAACTGGTCCTCGCTGTATGTATGCTACTGAAAAAATAGGATTTATGCAATACTTATCGGAAAAAGGAAAGAAGCGAAGCCACAGTGGGATGAAGGCAGTTGTAGGATAGGCTTGGAAAAGGAAGGTATGTGATGAACTCTTACCAAAAAGGGTAGCAGCTGTTGGACAACAAAGAGACATGGTCTTACCAGCAGCCTGGCAGCTTCCCAGGCTCAATGATATGTCATCCAGTGCCACAAGTCCACAGTCCCAGAAGCTTTTACACCAGCTGACAAAGACAACCTGCAACACATGAAGGAAGTTTCAGGTATCTAACAAAAGCTGGTACTGTTAAGAGTCTGAAATTTTACATTTTTCCAAATGCGCTAATAATTTTGACATCTACACAATGGAAATGATGAATCTGCTTTGTTTTGGCACATCATAATACTGCCAATGACTTACAAGTTCAAATCCAGAGGGGTTTAGATGTATGCTTTTACTCAATAGAAAGTGTTTCCTCACTTTTACAGGCAAATGATGTATCTCTGTATGTAGTTTCAAATTTTTTAGGAGAATGTGTATTTTTTTAGTGTATGAAAAAATATGACTCACTGAGGCTGTTGCATTTTTTTCGCCCCCAAAAACCAACATCAAGAGCTCAAATGTCCTCAGCTATCTTATCCATAAACCATGGAGGTTTTATCCATGGAAATATAAATTTGAAAGAGTAATGCAGAGCGATGGTCAAGAGAAATAGCCATGGCAAAAAAAAAAAAAAGAACAATCGAGATGAGATGAAACTACTGCATAAAATGGGATTATTCAGAAATGACACAAGGCCATGATATCATACAGCAGAAGGCTGGAAATACTAAGCATCATTCACAGTGTTCATCTAGGTTTGTGAAGATTAAGAATAGTGTCCAAGATGTTTTATTTGACTACACATTAATTCTGCCCTGGGAAATACAAGTTGCTCATGAGATTACAAAATAAAACGTAAAGAAACTGTTAAGATTCCCTGCTACCTTTCTCCCAAGGTTGACACAGATCTGTTTGAATTATAGAAGACACAACAAGGTTTATTTTGTGAAAATACTGCTGGCAGTTTTCTTTGCCTAACTACTGCAAACCATCTGTCTGACCATTGGGGTTATGACCGTAGTTTGGGAGGAGCCTTTCAAAACAATTCCTTTGTGATGAGGTCTGAGCTAGTGACTGGAGAGGGATGAGTGTCACTTCTAAGAGTTTAATATTCTGGAACTACTGTAAACACCTCAGTTACATATCGGAGGTTAAATGCGGACTGTTTCATGCAGATATAAAAAGGTGGTTAAAAGTCATTCATGCATTATTTAATATGTCCCCTTTTAACAGGCTGGTAACACCTTCAATATGGTCATTATACCAGATTTTGCCAGATTGCTTTGCTGTGTAGGACTTATTTACTCATCTGCTTACAAAACAGTCTGGGATGTAACTACACTTTAGCCTTTGAAGCATGTGTGGGTTATGCTGCCCGGGATGGAGCAATTTTCAAAACCATTTTCCATTCAGTGCTACAAACAAACCCTGGTGGTATTGATAATCTTTCTTGTAAACTGTTGCAGGTGTGGACTTGAGGAGCGCCCCTGCACAGCATGCACAAGTGCTCAGTGTATAGTGGCCTAAAACTGGCTTTTTTTTTTTTTTTCTTTTTTGTGTAGCTGCTCTCTTAGCCTTAAGGTTTAACAGGATAAAAATTGTTTCCTGCTTTGTAAGTTCATTCTCAAGAAACAGGCGTAATCTATTAAAAAATGGTTGCATCTCTTGGAATAAAGAACACAATAAATACTGACGTTGGGTGGACGTCATTCACCAGTCTTTTAATAAATGCGTTCTAGTGAACATTGGTAATAAACTAAAGACAGACTATAGTCCTAAACCCAAGAATCTTCAAAAAACCACACATGAAAGGGTGAGGTCAGTCCGCGTTTGTGAAACAACATTTCCACACTGTGGAATCATGTTGTAAGTGATGTTTTCCTATTGACATCATTGGGAGCAGGATCAAGTTCTTTATTCTTAAATTGCCATAATTTGTTCCATACAAGGTATGTAATTACCCATTGGATCCCGCAGAAAGCCCTCCATTTCGAAAGCATTGCAACAATAACGGTTGGTCTCTCAAAGGCGATGGAACCAGTAGCCTTTGCACAGTCCAAGGACTGATCTGTTTCAGTGACACTAGTAAACTTGTTCAGCATTGTCATCTGTAGCTTTAGCATTACTAATTTTCCACTTGCTTTTTGCGGTGTTGAGTGACACGCTGCCACAAGCAGACTTTATGGGGTGGGGTGGGGGACCTTGTGCTTGGGAAAGTGGAGTTTCCAGTATTAGCTATAGCAAACGCCCTGAAATTGTTCATTGTTCCCTCAGCTTATATTTGTTACTGTATTCTTCATTTATTTAAGCAATGGGGTGGAACATATTTTTATTCACAGGTCAAATTTACTCACTCTTCTTTTGTCCTAAATGTCGGGTTTTTGTCATAAAGGGACATCTCTGACTATTTGAATTTTACCTGCTCAAATTTTATCTATTTGGATTTACTCAGCTAGTCATTTTCACCCTATGTCAGATCGCTGAATCCTTTCTACTGTCTCGATAGGACTAACCTCATGATGCTTTACATTTCTTCTTGTTTTGAATGAAAATATTTCCTAGGTCAATTCTTCCAAAGGAAATTTTTATGAAGTTATCTCATGCCTCAGAGAGAGAATAGGGGGATCTTTGTGCTCAGCTCATAATTTCTTCATAAAACATGACAGATGAACAACATACTAATTGTTCAAATCTAGATAGCAAATCTTCCTGGACTAACATGCTGTCTTGGACACATTAAAAACATTATCAAATGCAGGCAGTTGTTGCCTGTGTTACTGAAAACTAAAACATATTTTCATCTCATGTCTCTTTTTGGTCCAATAACAGGACACAGCCAGGGCTTCAGTTTCCTTCCAAATCATTGCCCTGATTTCTGGAAGGTGGTTTCTTTATTTTCCAATGCTTAATCAATGTTCCTGGCTTGCGGCCTCAAAGTATTGATAATCGGTTCTTAGTATTTATCCTGGATTATATCAGTAATGAGCAACGCCAGATGAGAACAGCTGGTAGAGCAAGCAGGGTTTCACTTCTCCCATGACACGTTGTTGAGTTGTGCTGCAGACACTGAGTGAGGTAGAGGGAACTTCTCATCCCTAGCACTCTGCAGCTCTACAAGTAGATGCGAGTCAAAACATATGCATATGAAGTTTACCTGCTTTTGGCGGAGAAGAAACAGTAGGACAAGCAGTAGGATACCTTCATTGAGACACGTAAAGAAGGACTAATGGGGAAGCTTGTAAAAGAAGCTGGACTGAAAACAGGAGAAAAACAGAGAAGATGCCCCTGGATCCCTATGGGTTCTCTGTACTTTCTTTCCTACTTGTTTATCCCAGAAAACACAGCTCTTGCTCAATTAGAGAGCCAGACCAGCCAAACAAAAGAAAAACTGTGACAGCAGCCAAATCTGGTGACTTAAAAGCAAGCTATGCCTCTGCAGCAAATTAATTCACCTGGTTCCATCCTAGTGAATATTCCTAGGTTTGAACTACATACTGTGTATCGGTGTATGTACAAAAAGCAGTCTGTCACTGAGACATACATTTATGTTTGATTTCTTCAAGGAGAAAGACAGTTATAGTGGAGTCTGAGATGTTTTGCTGTGAGAAGCAACTGTTGTAATTTCCATGCAGTGACACAAAACCTAGCATTACGAAATTCAAAGATAATTCGAGCACCAGAAACAAAAGCGTGACATGACACATAGAAGCAGTTGAGATGTCTTCACAAAACAGGGAGCCTGACTCTTCAGTCAGTTAAGCTAGTATGCAGCCATGTAAGTGTGTAAGCCAGGGACCCATCGCTGGCACAGGGAAAGGGAGAACCATTCTGATTGTCCCAGGGCTGTTCGATACGAACGTTATCAGTGTAGCCCAAATTACTTTTAACTAGTTTAATTAAACTAGATTTTAAATGGCTTGGTTCTCTTTAGCTTAAACAGTCAGAAACTCATTTATCAAGAACGTAAGTAAGCTATTAAGCCAAAATTAGAATGTTCAAGCTTCTGCTGTTCAAAATAAATTGATTTAAAACAGCACTCAGCAGGCAAGTTCAGTTTCTTGCCATGTAAATACAATGAGCTTCTACGGGAAAAATAACGGATTATGAAAGCTTCTACATAAATAATTGGATAACGTGGGTAATAAGCTTGTGACATTTGAACACATATTTTTGAAAATCTTTCTTGTCCAAGGGCAAATGGGTTGCAGAAATAGACATGAAAGAGAAACATAAAGCTAACTGAACAACCTTAGGCCACAGGCTGTTACTGCTACATCTATATTCACTGAATTGCACTGTCTAGTAGAGGATACTGCCTGCACAGAAATGTATACAGGACACTGATATCCTCAGCTGTCACCCAGGGTCCTCCTAGATTTCCTGAAATCTGCTATTATGGCTTTATCCTCTTTTCAGTAAAACAATTTCCTTGGCTCTTTCTACAAGAGGGAGAGGTTCTTGCCTTTAGACTGAGGAGTCTTGTCAGAGACATGGCACCGAAATATCACAATATTAAGTACCCAGAACAAAAACTGGGGAAAAAAAGGCAATGTCAGTTAAGTATCACACACACCAAAAAAAGAGGTATGTAATGTTTCATGCGACATGTCTCTTTGCTTAGCTACTGTGAAGATGCCGGCCACTTAGGTAACACTTTCTAACCCGAGTAATTTTTACAGTTTCCAATATGTCATTTCCATAACCGTATAGCAAACACCACAGACAGTGGGGTACACGTTTTGCAAGGACTAATCCTACTGTTTCCAGACTCTAATGTTCTTATTTTAAGCAGGCATTTCCAGTGACTGTTCTTTAAGGAATTTGTTGGTTTAGAGGTGAGAGAAAGAAGGACAGAAAGGGAAAACTGTACAAGACACAAATCAACCATAAAGCTATTTGTGCTGTTGTATTATGTTCAGCCCCTAGAGAGATGAACAACTTCAGTTCACACCGGTCTCACCAGTACCACTGTGTTTATGGTTACCGTGAGGTCTATTTTCCATGAATTTGCCTAATCCCTTTTTAAATGCATGTATACCATTGGCCTCCACAGCATCCTACAGCAAAGGATTTCAGTGTTTAGTCATCCATTCCTGAAAAAATCCTCCCTTTTGTTTGTTTTAAAACATGTAAATATTGAAGTGCAACACTCAGTCACTTGGTTTTGCTTTCTCACAACTGCAACTAAAATTAGTTACAGAGGAAAGGTGAAAACAAACCGTCAAACTCAAGGAAACAGAGAGAGGAAAACCAAAACATCAGAGAGGAAGAAAAGTAGACTGAAAGAATGAAAACCTAAGAAATGCTGCCACAACTACTCTGAGGGAAGTTGGGTGGACCATTATGATGCCAGCTACCTTTCTGAGGATTTGTTTTTGAACCCTGTGAGAGGTATTCAAGCACTACAGCTGTGGGTAACATTGCATAAACTTGCATGAATAGACAAAAAACATGAAATGTTTGCTTTTGAAAACCTGAGCTTCAGAATGGTGAAGCAAATCCAGCAGAAATTAAGATAACCGATGTAAGTAAACCCAATTGCATTCAAACCTTAATTTCAATCTAGGCATTTAGACTTTGTTGTGAAGCTACATAAAAGAAGTATCTTTTCCATGGTGGTGTATACACACAAATGCACACACAATACTAAAACGCAGATTCTTGCTCCACAGCCCATGTGAGCATCTCCAGGTTACACATGCCATATGTGAATTTTTCTTACAGTGAGCTGTGGCATTTTCCCACCATATATTGTCCTGGAAGATCAGTTTCAGTACATTCAATTAGATCAAAAGAATCTACATATTTCAGACTCAGATTTTTATGCTGTTGTTTAAGAGGCTTCTACGACAAAGCCTGAAGGGTTTCATTTATTTTAATAAATGTTAAGAACTTTGTTATTTATTTCTTCCTTCTCACATTTATTCCCTGGGCACTACAGAGTATAAAAAAAAATACTGTATGTGTATATGATCATAGGTACTTACACCAATTAAAAGAGAGGGTGCCTCAAGTACAAATTGAGAAGTCAGGATTTTAAATTTCCTGCCTTCTTGCTAGCATTATATAGCATATGTATTTGCAGTATGTACACATAAATACATACATATATATGTATAAACGTTTATGACTTGCTTAGCTGGATCACACCCACCTAACCTTTTCAATGTGGTAGTTTCAAAGTGTCGTGTTAAACTCTGTTGGCCAGCTTCACGTTTCCTGCTCACAGAACTTGAGCCAACAATCTGTGCCAGACTGCAGTTAGCTAATTCAAAAAGAACTCGCAAAAACCATTACACAAACCAAGGGATGAAAACTGGAGCCTTTTTATTGTCCTGATGCAAACAAATATGTTATCAAAATTAAAACATATCAGACAGATTATATATTGTTTTCAAAGTCTTGGGAGTAGTATTCATAGTAGAAGAAAGGTGAAGGACATAGGTAATCAGGTATTTTAGAACAGTTGTTTTCTGGCTACAAAATCGTCACGACCTTCAGGACGCCCTGGCCGAAGCAGCATTAACGACTGCCTCGCTGACTTTACTGGCCATTAAGGAACGGCCAGGAGACTGTTTACTGTTTCCACAGGCACTGACCCAATCTACCAGTCACACCCAGTAACCAAGAACTTGATCAGCCAAACTACTGTGCATGCCTACCACTTCTTATCATTCAAGTCTAGACATGATGCATCTCAGAAAATGATAGGATAGGCACATCAGCCACCACATCCGTATTAGAGGAAAGGTGGTAGCCTTATTTTATTTTGAGACCACCTCACTCCATTAAAAGACTGTTTTTTACTTGCTTATAACATTGCCAAGATGTAATAATTTCAGCTCAGACTTTCCATACTGGGTCCTTGCTTCAGGCTTGTTTTTGAAGATTTAAGCCAAACAGTTCCATCGTTTCCGAGAACAAGGCTAGGAAAAAAGGTTTTATTTTGCCCCTATTTAAAGTATTCTTTGAAAAGCTTAGGCACTCCTGGGCTTTGGAGTAGGAGCATGAAATGTGTCAGGGTTTGGTCTCTGTGCCAGAACTGTGATTTCTGTCAAGTCATTAGTTTTTGAAAAAGTAAAATTTGTAAGAACTGAGACAAGCAGGGCAAACAGACTGGGACATGGACAGGATTAGAGAGAAAAACATTGGACTGCCCAGAGCTGAGAAGCCAGAAATAAAATGGCGAATGGGGTGGTGGGAGGAGGTGGGTGCTGCCTACGGTGCAAGACGGATAAGACAAGGTTGCATCAGTGAGGAGGCAAGAGACACAAAGACAGGCTGGAGGAGACAGGACAAGAGAGGTCAAGCTTCAGTGAGCTTGTTTTTTTCATGTCTCTCTATACTGTCTCTCCCTCCAGAGCCTGAAGGGTGATCTCTGACTTGCTGGTTCCCACCACTCCTTGCTGTCAGGCAAAACATGCTCTGATGCAGCTCCACCACTGGCCTACATTGAAGACGGCCGTTGGAATGACTGTGCCTTGTCAGCTCTTTCACTAGGTCGCGGGTAGACACATCTTTACAGATAACTAACCTAACACTAACCTGTGTTTATACAGTGCCTCACAGTGCTCTTTCATTTCCTTCTGTTGGCTTGGAAAAGAAACAAACAAAATAAAGCATGAAGGTTCAAGAGTTGGGCATGAGATGGCAAGGAAAAGCCAGAATCGGGTTCGCTGTGCAACTTCATTCGAGCCTGCTTGTGAATGCTACAAGCAGATAACGTATAACTAAAACAGTTTTTCACCCTTGCCTTCTGGCAAGCAGACACAGGCTTAAACTTGGAAATCATTGGTCTTTTGTATGCTACCTTCTCAGCCCTAAACATATCTTGATATCGTTTTCCATATTGACATGCTTCAGAACTTCACCCATTGTCTTCCATACACTATTGGTCTAAGGAAAACTTTATAAACTGATGGTGTATATACATACACAGCCATCACGAAAACCATATACAAAGTTCAGCACATTATAGCTTGTGCATGATTTATTATGTACCAATGGCATCTACTACATATGCAAAACTGCAACTTAATCCCTATTCTAAACCTAATTTAATCTTCCAACCCAGGAAAAAAGACTGTGAGAGAACAGGTTTAAACGAAGGCAAAGGAAGAACTTCACACTCTCTCCAAATACATGTTATTTGGCTAAGGGATGTCCGAATTATGATATGCTGAACACATGCTGAGTTCTCTAAAGCCCAATAAATCTCACTTTTTGTGTCATTTGAGGAAAGCCTCCTCGGCAGAAACATTTTGCAACTTTTTTCCTAGGCAAAAAGTCCCGTCACAAGACCTGAAGGACCCACTGAAGATTTCTGGGAATTGCCATAGGCCAACAAACCCTCCTGCTGCAGAGCATGGAGTTTCTTCCCTCTCGCAGGCCTTCAGGCTCAGAAGCAGCAAGGATATTCCCTTGACTTCTTTATCCTCCTCTGTGCTGCTCTCCCCATCTGTTAACTGCCTACAGCCAGGCTGGTAACTACAGACATGAAAGCTGCAATTCACTAAAAGCTTTCCACCCCAGGCAAGCTTCTTCACAAGTGTTTTAGATCTACTAATTTCTAGGAAAACATAAAAATAGTTCTTCATGAATTCATATGGGAAAAGATTTTCCACGTAAATGTCAGATGCTAAAAAAACTGCCACCTCCAAGGCTATAAACCATTTTTTACAGTCACGCTCAGCTGTCATCACTACTCATACAGTGTATTACACTACACAAGCTACTGAACCTTTATAGAAGAAATAAAGAAATATGTAAACAGGATATGGCAAAAGCATGTTAAAAGCTTGCCTTTTTAACCAACACCTCGTCATGATTTAAAAAAAAAGAGACAAGTACTTTTCTGCAAATATTTTGGGGCGATACTATGACTTTTCTATCATGCGCTTGCTGGGCAGTAATAAAATTCTTTTTTTTGTCTGTATCAGTTGAAAAGGAAATAGAAATTCTATTAATTCTATTATTACGTTTTATGCATAAAAAATACATACATAAAAATCCCATCAATTTCTTAAGGTAAAAGATATCTGAGGGAAAACACTAGCCAACAATTAGGATCAAAATTTTCAGCATAAATTTCCCTTTTAACACACTTAGGCAACTTCCTTTTTGGTGAACTTTTTCTTTTACAGTGTATTTACTTCAAAGAAAAACAGGTGGGTTTTTTTCCCAAGAAAAGTTAAACCCAATAACTACTTCAATTTCAAAAATTACTTTGTAGTGGGGAATATGCTTAAGATGTTTGTCTATAATTTAGAAATGCCTGGGTTACAAGACAAGCTTTCATTGATATGTTCATAGCACTATCACACTTCGCAAAAAAGCTGGATTTATCTCAGTGTTATCAGGTAGTAATCCATCTGGTCCTCCTTAGATGACTCAGACAATGAAAAGCCATTACAGAAATCAGGATAACTGCAGAAGTAGCACCTACACAAATTTGTGTAAAAGTCAGTCTCTGTAAAAAGAGTGGAGGTGAGGAATAACAGCAGCTTGAGGATGTGCTCAGGAAGTGATGTGAAATATTATGCTCTTGTTATTAACTTGCTGAGATACCAAAGTGACCTGTCCAACCAGACATTGCAAGTACTTCAAGTCCATTGCTCTAAATTACACTGATGTCTGGTTTTGTATTTTAACCAAGTGGTTGAGTTTAGGAAAGTAGGATTAGCTCCCCATTTTGACCAGAATTTACCAGTATAGACTTTTTAGATTAATTAAATTCTGTAATTGAGTATGGTGATGCGAATCACATAGGAGATGAACAAACAAAAATGAGTGAATGTGGAGCCTGCTGAGAAACCCAGACACAACCTGCTCTCATTAGAGCTCAAGTGAAATCCCCTCAAATACTGTGACGACAGTTGAGGACACCAGGACGATGCTGCCCCATGCCTGGTATAAAGCCCCTTTATCAGGGCTCCTGTGGGAGCCAGGCTGCAAAGAAGTACTCCCCACTGTACTGCTTGGGGAGCTCTGTTTCACTTCGCAGGTGTAGCTTACTTGGGGTTAATCCCTGGATAACAAAGAACCCTGCGCGGAGAAGGTAAGGAAAATCTCCATCCATACTTCAGCAGATTTGAAGAGTTGTCTCTTACCTTGCAAGGCATAGGCTTTTTGAAGGAGATTTCAGCTTCAGTCCAAACTCCCTTTGGAGAGTCCAAGACGGACCAGATTTTCTCTTGAACGACATGATTCTCCTCAAAGATATAAACAGCAAGAGTACCACTCATTTTGAAAAACCCATATAAGGCATAATAAAAACGCAGACAAAACTGCAAGTTTCCTGGCAGGGTCGGGCCATACAGACGTCCAATGTACCCAGGCTGTGACGTAAACTTTGTGTTCGCCAACAAGTAATAACCTGCAAGACAGCGCAATTATTATTTCTAATATGCAATTAGCACAGCTGATTTGCTATTAAAGCAGCTTCCGTTATTACATCAGACTTTGGCTACAAAGCCAGCTTCTACTGGCAGGAAACCAGATTATCACACTCTGTTTGAAAGGAAATAAGGATTTTTCTAAAAGCTTCCCAGCTACTTCAAGCTAAACTGGCACATGCCAAAGTTACCAGAAATAAGCACTTCTCAAATTTACACTGAAAAATTTTCTGGCCTGCTGGCCTCACTGGAAACCTGGCTGTTTCAAAGGTACCACTCCAAGATCAAAGAATGAAGGATGGGGCACAAGGCCGCAAGTTATTCCCTGCCCCAAGTATAAAGAGGTGAGACTTTAGCACATAGGATTAAGAACCATGAATACTCTACAAAAAGAGACGTGAGTTTCAGAACTTATTAGCAGGCCTTTCACTACGTGGCTTCACTACATAACATTTCAGAGTTTTCCCTTAAAAATGCCAACTATCTTGAGCTTGGAAGAGCTAAGAGTCCACCATTCCTCTGTATTAAAAGCAACGCATTAAGCTACTATTATATTTGCTTGCATGCTTTTGTGGAATCATTCCTTCAGTGACTACAAATAAGTACAGTGAAGATAGTCTGATTTATGGCCCTGAGTGACTATTCAATAGGTGACACTCCCCCTTCACATGTGGGGAGGCACAGCCGGCGTCCCAGGTAGGACAGAGCGGTGTGCACTGATTTTTAATGGCAGGGAGGCAATCTAACCAGTGTGCCAATGACATTATTTAACAGAGTGAACAATGATACAACAGGTTAACCTCTCTATCCAGTTTTACTCTTCCAGTGAAAAGGAGTTGTGATTTACCAAACCCAGTAGTGTGATCTCCTGCTCTATACACATTACGCTTCACTTTCACTCTGCTCCATCCTGGGCCGTCTTTGTGATCCTGGTAAAAATTACACAGATCTTCCTCAAAATTGCAGCCTGCCTGGGCAGGATTGAAAGGAGTTCCTAAAAGATAGATGCATATGTTCTGTTAGGGAGAGCACAGTATAGTAAGCATAGGCATTTGAAACACAAGGATGCTAAAGTATGAGCTGTTTCATCTTTTTTTTGCATTACAGAAGATGAGCGTGTGCAAAGGTGTTTCACATACACAGTGCAAAGTCACAGTGAAACAAAACTATCAATTTTCTATCGCAAGTGGGTGTTATTTTCTTACATTTTTGCTGGACCCAGGAGGAAACCTCCTTCACAGACCCTATAAAATACAAATAAGCTACAGATATTAAGAGAAAATTCTTCCTTCAGGACACAATGCACAAAGACATTCAGACCATCTGTTTTCATCCTCCTCCTTCATTCAAAAGATATTTGGACAAAATGAATGTGAGTGTGTGTGTGTCTGTGCATGGGTGTCATATTTTCATTTCCATTTCCAAGGGGATAACTTTTTAACATCAACATTTATTATTCTTCTAAAGAGCTGTTTTTAAAAAACCCTTTTGTAGTCATGTATCATGTGTGTGCATATGCATGCTATAAGGATACCTTTTGGTTCATGTACCACCTCTGGGTTACTGAGCTCTGGAGCTATGCCTCACTCGTTTTAGCACTGCAGCAAAGCAAGCTGCACCATTTATAGTGAAGTTGATTAAAAGCTAAGCTCAGCTCCCCAGCCCTGCTGATGGCACCCTTTTGACCTGTGATGTGGAATTTATGGGTCAGGATTTGCTTTAGTCTGAAAAAATTCCCCTGGTGAAAGGGTGCTTTTAAGTAAAACATTTCTACTTCTTTAGAACCCTCATCAGTCACTTGCACCAGGTGCTGGGGGAAGGAGGGGCACAACACAAAGCCACCATGCAATTTCTGGATACGTCTGGACTCAGGACCTCATGAGCATCACTCTGTGGCAGCATGCATGACCCTTCTGCATGGAGGCTAAGAGGGGCTTCCTGGCAAAGGCAGGGACATAGGCAAGCAGCTTCAGGAGAAGCAAATTTTGGAGAGATGCCTGTGGTCTTTTCAGCCTCAAATAAGCCAGATCTAAGCACTGCCCATGTGTCTTTCTCTGCCTACAGAGAAAAAGGAGGCAGCCCTGGCCTCTCTCCACCCACTGCATTCCTAGCTAAAGAAAATGCAGTTGGAGCACTACCAGGTCCATGGAGCATTAAAGATTCATCTTTTGGTGAGCAAGTTTAGTGCTTTGGTACCTTTTTCCTCTGTTTGGCTAGCATTGAGACCTTTGTTGACCAAAACTTCCAGAAAAATAAGGAAAAAACTTAATGCGTTATATATACTGCTGTGGCCGACTACAAGGAGAATGAAGCTCTCTTGCTTTTTAATGTCTCTACTCAAAACAGTTGAAGACAGAAATAGGACATAAGTCTGAAGGATTAACCAGCTTTGTTGTCGTTCAACAAAATATAAAGTAAATGATTGACATTCATTTCTCAACCAGAACAAAAAAACCCAAAGCTTCAAAATCAGAGTTAGTACACAAAGCTCTAGCTGAACCTATCAAATTTACTGGTCAGAGCAGATCTGAACTTGGGCCATGATAGTGTGACTAAATCATGGTTGGGGCAGAATATAGTATAAAATTTATCCCACACCTCAACACACATAAGCCATCTGAAAATTAAAATGGAAAACACAGCCAAGTACACAGCTCCAATCTATGGCATACTGCAAACACAACTGGGGATTTTTGTTGCAAAACAAAGCAAAAACAGAACCGGCATTGAGGAGTTAATGAAACAATTAGATTTACTCAGCCAAGAGTTGTGGTTTAATAACATATCTGGACTCTACCTCCTATTGATACTTCAGCAGTGCACGTAATGCTAGCAGAGACTCCAAGCAGATAAAAAAAGGGGAAAACCCCTCTTTTTCCTTGATTCCTTCAAAACATTAGCCAAAAATTCAAACTTGTGACCCAAAGAACGGATGAGGTCAGTGGGAAACGACTAATCTACTTTTGACTGTTGCTTAGTGCTACAATACAGCACAAGAAGCCAGTATACAGCTACTTCAGAGGCTGCATTCACAAACGACAGTGTCCTTTGTCCCAAGTCCCTCTGCAGCTCAGGTCACGTGGATTGAGCTGACTTCTGCGGCTGTGAAAACCTAATAAAATCCCAACAGATACGCCACTCTCTAAGATAAATAACACTTCCTGGAAGAGTGAAGACAGGAAGGCAAAGCTCTCGTTTTGGCTCTGAAGAACACCTCAGGACATGTGGCACAGAAGAAGATATTCCCTACATCTGCAATAATGAAAAGCTCAGGACGTTTTCCTCCTCATACCGTCACACCTAGGGAAATCCCTCTCTTGTTCTGCAACAGGCCTGCAAGTGGTAATTTGTTCAAAAGTTAGGGTGATGCAAATAATAGTGTTCAGCCCAGCGCTCCAGTTGCAGATCCCTGAGGCAAGGTCTTTGGAGAGGAAGCATTAAGGACTGGTTTCTGGATCAAACGAACAGCAGGAGCCCAATGGTGCTCGTCAGTTGAGAAAGTAGCATCTGCACATCACTATCAAATATTGCAAGTACTGACATATGGTTCAGAGGGGCAAAGCAAAGGGTGGAAGCAAGGAAGGTAAATAGCAATAAGAACTCATACCTGTCTGATTGCTGCAGTAAACTGGAGAGAAAGAAATGTCATCAAGGGCAACGTAACCTCCTTTGGCGCTATTGAAAGCAACTTCAAATATTACCTGGAAATGGTAACAATTTGTTATTCATCTGTCACATACACAACAATAACTTTGGTACACATCTTTGTATCACAGAATTCTAATCGGATGTCCCAGACAGAGTCAAGGGCATCTCAGACAGCACTGCAGGTGCTGGGACAGATTAAATCATATCACTTATTAGGGATATAAATCAGAGCTTGACCCTGGCATCAGATCTTTGCCCACTCAAGGTCAAGGGCAAATCAAGGGGAACATAGCTCTTCTGCTGCTTCATGAAGCATCAGTTTTAAAGATGCAGTAAGGCTCCTGTCGTGATACCATATAAAGCCAGTGTTCAGGATCATCAGTCTGTATTGACTATAACTCCAAAGCTGCCTAATTATTACTGTATCTACAATCTATCTGGATCCAGAGCTAAAAACAAATTGTGTGGATTACTCTGCTGTTATAATATTAAGTTTTACTGTTTTCTCTGAACATCCTCAGACACTGAAACCCACGCCTTGGCATCAGCTGGCAGGGAAGATTTCCTTAAAAAAAATTTAGTTAAGAACAAGAAAAGCTACCCCTGTGTTGTGTTTACCACAAAAATTAAACAATGTTTGTACTTAGTCATTCCCAAGGGACATCATTTCCTCAAGCAAGTGGAGGACACTCCGTATCTCTTGAGGAAGTGTCTTAATTTTTTCTCTTCAGTATCAAAGCTCTGAGTTACAGGAAAACTTTGAGAAAAGGCCTGAACCACAAGGCAACCCCAGGGACAAAACACGGATATAAGGACAACACTTCCAGAGCAAGATCCTGTTCAGTGAAAGCAATGCCTGTGATGTCTCGCCCAGGGATGGGAGCCAAACTAGGAGTGCTGTGAAAGAATCCTGTGCAATCTCGTTTAGCCGGATGAAGCAAAGAGGAAGACCCTCTTGAAGCAACTGAAGAAATTATATGCAAAGTTTAATCTTATTTCTATAAAGTGATCTCTAAAATAATGACTAGGTTGGATTACATAAAAATTCCCAGAACAGAATAACGGCCATATAACCCAGTGTCTTGTTCCTAACAGAGGTCACCTACAGAAAGAACTGAAGACAATGACAAGACCCCATTTCTTCTTCCCTCATGTTGCATTCCTGACGGATTCTTTCTTTTAGAAATTAATTTGTCTAATCAGTTTTTGAACTGATGAGAATAATCGTATCCACAGTACGCCGTGGAAGTGAGTTCTACAGTTATGTGATGTAGGAAAAATTTCTACCTTTTGTTTATTTTAAAACTGTTACCCAATACTTAAGAATTTGAGAGAGCAATGTAAATTGTGAGAAAAAGGGAACAGTTAATCTTTTCTGTGTTATTCATGATTTTTATGAATGCCTACCATACTCTACTTCAGTATTTTTTTTTACAGGCTGAAAACTGTTATTTCCTTAACATAACTTCTCCATACTTCTGATTATCTCCATCTTCCTATTGTAGTTCTCGGATATTCTTTTTTAGCTGAGAGGGTTGGAATTGCATACTGTGCTGAACATAGTGGTACAACATCCTCTGTTTTGCTGTTTATTCCAGTACAGATAGTTTCCAACTTTCCAGATGGTTTTACGAATGCCTCTAGGAACTATGAGGATATTTTCACAAAAGTAACCACAGTAATGCCGAGATCTAAGTCATCATTAATTAATTTCCATCTATAGCGCTGACTGTTTTTCTGCTTACATATTACTTTATATTTACTGAGTAAGTAATTCACTTACTGTTCAGTATTATGAGACCGTATCAGATCTAATGTCCTTTCCCATACCATTTGAAGTCTGACAATTCAAATGGATGACTTGGTCACTGACTTTACAGAGCATAAAAGGACTATGTAACATTTGATGAAAATTAGCTTTACCCCTAATGATTCCTGAAAATCTGCAGGCTTACAGAAACTAACAAACAACTTATGTGGAGTTAAAGCAAGCAGAATGAAAGCTGATTTATTTATAATTCTAGTATGAGAATCAAATATATAGGAAAAGAGAGAGTGTATTTTATATACATATATAAAAATACCTACATATATATGTATAAAACATATATTACATATTTGTATACATTTGAGTATATATATGGATATGTAATACATATACAGTGTTTATTCCAATTTTCTAAGATATTTATGTATGTATTAGATATAAGTATATATATTTACATATAAAGATATAATGTAAATATGTGTGTATGTATATATACCATATATAAACCCATATTTTTATACATATATATGTGTTTGTATATTTTTTATATATATATACTCATATATAAAAAATGTTTATTGCAATCTTCTAAGCTTTGGGGTTTTTTTTCAGTAAACTCTAGGGAATGAAAAACTCAATCTCTTTCTGGTACTCTTGAAATTAATTATAGCAACCATAGAGAGCTGGCTTTCACATCTAAGGTGTACTACTAGGTCCCAAGTGTAGACTCTATCTCATGAAAGCACAGAAAGACTGAATTGCAGGATTGCATAAAGTAGAGAACAAAGCTCGAATATTTTTTTTAAAAATTGCTTCTGCAGTGGGAGGCATGACTTATTTTATGATACTCAGCATTCTCAAAAATGGATCATCGAGTCACAGAAATATGGGACTGAGAGAACATCGACATTATTTAGTAGGAACTGAAATACCTCACATTAGTAGGACTCTACAACCTCCCAAGGTATTCCGTTCAAGCACTTCATCACCTGACTTCACCTCTGTTGAAAACCAAGCACCAGTTTGGAAAGTGACTCCTCCTTGACTCTTGTGCAGTGGACAAAGGAAACAACACATCATCAGCATCTTTATAACCATTTTTCAGATACTGCACAGCCACTGCCATGTTCCCAACCTGGCCTGAGTCAGCACTGATGCAACCTGGAATTCATAGCTGGACTGTACAGGAATGGTTGCTTTACCTCCATGGGGTATGGCGCATTGAAGTCAACTTCCGCTAGTGCCCAGTCCGCGCTCAGTGCGCTGTCTGTTTTCCAGATCTCTTCATAAAAGCCACTCGTGTCTCTCAAGTAAACGGTAAAAACAATGCTACTCTCCTGCTTAAGTTGGTAATAAAAAGATAAGCAGCCAGACATTGGGGCTGTGGTCTTCGGTGAGATTAGCTGGGCAACTTCCTGAAAATGTTTGACGTAAACAGAGTCCACATACATGTAGTGACCTGAAAGTATAAAAGAAATTTGGTACAAGGAGGACATCACTTACAAGAAGTATCAGGACATATATCTGTATGACCTGGACAATGATGGTTGATTCCTAGGAAATTTTAGTAATTCTAGGAGATTTTTTTTTTTTGTCCTTTCCTCCCAGGTACAATCCAAAGTTGTTTGGCTAAGATACTACTCACAAAACAGTCAATCTCAGCTCTTTCTTAAGTCTTTATTCAAGACTTTATATTAAAGAAAGCTCCAAATTCTCCAAATTCTGGGAGCCATTCATAAATGGAAAAATGTGTTACAACTGAGTAAATTCCATACCTCCCAACAGCTCAGTATAGTATTTAGTTTTTTTCCAAGCGCAACTTTTACTGAGGCAACCCAAGTAAATGAACAAGACTATAAGCCGTGTGTTTCCTCACGTTTTACTCAGCAGTTCATTTAATGTATCAAATGAATTGGCAAATAACCTTTATTCTACACATTTCACTGCTTGTATAATTCTGCTTGGTCCATCTAGAATTTGGTTTCTAAATGTTTTATTGTTAATAAATAGAAAAATGCATTACAAATGAGTAGACTTCTTCCCCCTCAACAGCCAATACGGCCTGTAGGATTTTCAAAGGCTACAATCTCTCAGACTTTGGTTTTGAGAGAGCTACCTCAAGGTAATCAGGACACACCCATGTGCACAGATATGTGATGCATATCTTTTCCTACACTCCCAGAAACATAACATCAAACAGTATCAGCTGATGAACAGAAAAATGGTTCTTCACAAATAGAAAACCTAGAGAAGAATGAAGTTTCAAACTGACAGAGTACTTCAGCATGGACACTGCAAACCATGCCGCTAGGTTTGTATCTACATCACTACATTAATTAGCTAATAGTGTTCTCAAGCCTGGAGGTGTCAATTCTCACTTCACTCCAGTGGAAGGAAGGAAAACGGCTTGCTTGGCTGTGAGTCTCCTCCAGCCTGCCCACGGCCAAGGGACTGGTGACACTTCAATGGTACTTGCCTGAGAAGTTCTGGGCTTCATTTTTGATCTGCGGTTTTACCATATTTCATAGCTTAACTATGATCTCCCTGGCTGATGCACCTTCATAGCACAATTCTTGCAAAAAGAAGGCTCTTCTGTGACTTTGGCTTCTTGGGGTCTTCTCAGTCGATAGTCAGCAGTGAGGATTTGGTATAAAAAAGAAACACTGTGGCCAAAAGAAAACAGATCCCTCCCAGTTGGCAGCATTTCCTATTACATAAGTACTTTATTTAATAGGTTGACCCACTGTCTGCCGTTGAAGTTGTGGCGAGTTAAACTTCCATCCAAATTCCACCAGCATTTAGGTGCCACGGGGTGATACAGGGCCAGACTGACACTCTGTACTCAACTCACACAATTGTGAAATGAATAAAAAGGCACAGCGGCATGAGTTAAGGAAAGAGGATCAACCCTGCTTTTCATGATGCCATTCCTTGCACCGTCACAAGCATCACTTTGCCTGGCCGTCACCTGCTGCGGTACTTCACGCAATGCTACGTCAGAGGCTAAGATATCCCCAGCCCTTCTCTATGACTATATAAAATGTTCTCCTCTCAACAAGGTGGCCGGGAAAAGTGTTTCATACAGGGCAAGTGCTGAAAATCCTTTGAAGTCTTTACAGCATTTTGCCTCTGACGGACTGTGTTAACAGCACCGCATTTGACTGAAAGAAACAAAACTCCTGAACTGTGCAATTTAACCTGAGATTATCCAAATATGTTTCAAGCCCTTGGCTTTCCTACTTAGCTTTCCCAATAGCCACTGCAAAGAAAACCCCTGCCGGATGTATGGAGCAACGGTACAAGATTTTAAAACTTATTGTGGCCCATACTTTTAGAATCCACAGGAAGATTAATTTTCCCCCTCTCCCTCCAAAATTTTAGCCTTATTTTGAGTAATTCTGAGGACTAGCAAAGGGCATAACAACCTTATTGTAAAGCTTACAGGAACCTTTGTGTGAACTCTTGTAAATTCCTTTCATCTTTTTCTAATCCCTTTTTTCACATATGTCATTCTTACCTCACCCAATGCCAGGAGAAAAGAAAGAACTCACATAATAATTTGCAGTGAGAGCCATACGTGGATCACAGACTCAAATTTTCCACTATGCTTCTATTTTACATTTGGTGCTTACCCAGTTCACTGTTAAGTGTGTGGTCTTTGGGCAGGATAGACTGAGAATTACGAATGTTCCCTCCACCAACAAACCAGTTGACGTTGGGGTTCCAGCGGTTCATGAAGCCACAAAGATGATTTTCTTCGAAGTCACATTCTGCAATTGCAGACATGACCAGCTCAGTGCACACATTTTCATTACAGAAACTGGAAGAGAGGCTGTTGCTAAGCACTGGCTTCGTCTTACATATGGCAATGCAGGTAACATCTACCTTTATAAAACTGGAGGCAGCACTTAACAGCTTATAATAAATGGAAGCAAACAGCCACAATTTTTCATCAATTTTTGATAAAAATCTCATTTCTGCCCTGTTTGGTCCAATCTATCTTTTCATTATTTGCCAATCTAGGACTGCTGCAATTCAGAACCAAATTAAATAGATGTAAAATATACCACCTCATAGTATTAAATAGTCAGAGTAGAACTTCCACTTCTAAATGAGGGATGGCTAGAAACAAAGCAATTCTAGTATTTCATAGTGGTAATAAGACTGCTTTGTTTCCTTCACAGAGCCAAAGAATTGTGACAATTCGGTTGGACTCCACCAGAGCTCCCTAGAAATGTAAAGGTCTCCCAGACTCCTAGCCACTGAAATTTTTGAACTTCAGTAGCGGTTTTTGGCAAGTGTCATGAGGAAATAGCAATAAGTGTAAACATCAATAGAGTTTTGACTCTACAGCCTGCAAGATGCCACTGTAAGGAAGCATGAGCAGGCAGACAGGAGAAATAATGTTGCATCTGTTATGTCTGTTATGTCTAATATTTGCAGCAGTCTAGTTTTGTGAAAATAGAGCACTTGTTTCTGCTTGAACAATCAATAGCTTTAGAACGAGTTATTGTAAGCGAAATGTCTACATATATGACAAAAATGGGTGAATAAAACCATATATTAGCGTGTGCAACCTTAGATTAAAAAGTATCTGTATCAAATATGGCAGCCTACTTTTCAATAAGGAAGAAGCCATCATCTGTTTTCTAAACTCAGATCTTTAATTCAGTTTTAAAAGTACCAACAAGGCTTTTTTTTTTCTATGCAGAGAATATGAGATCTGTGCAGACAGTACTTACCGATACAATATCCAGGAGTTATTTTAATTTCAAAAACTGCTATACTGGCTGATTTATCTTGTCCCATTTCACCTTCCAGTACAATCTGCACAATATAAAACAAACTGTAAATTTCAGGGTTCCAGTATTTCCATTGTCATCCTGGACATTTAAACAGGATAAACAGGAGAACAAATCAAATATACGTGAGGGGCTCATCATCTTTACAGTCAGGAGAGGTGCTTTTGCTGGAAGAGCTTGGCAGAATGCATTAAAGACAGAGTCAACCCCCTTCCTCGAGGACAGAAGGCACCCTGAAGGACAATGAGACACGGCCAAAAAGTCCCACACTTCATATAAGAGCGTGGGACTCCAGATTCCTCAGCTGTGGCTATACAGGATGTGTTTCCCAGAGCGGAAGCGTTGAAAAAGCAGTCCGTACACCCCAACACACACACCAGAAGGCCTGTGGTGTCTTCTAAAGTCGAGCTTACCCTGTACTTCTTTGTGCTGTTCATTAAATCTAAGCTAGCTATGAGCCAGCTGTCCGAAGGCTCCTTGGCTGACCACAGCAAACGATCGAAGCTCTCTCCTTCCTGCCTCAGGTAGAGGTTGAGCCTGGTGGGATCCAGCGAAGCCTCTGAAGTCGTTGCTATCTGATAAATCAGTCTGACACAGCTCCACTCCTCGGAGTACAGCTCAGGGCTGGACAGCACTGCTTTCTCACCCTCGTAAGATGTATCCACAGAAATGTAATGTCCTGGGAAGAGGCACACAATCAGGATAATAAATGTCAGAGGCTTCGCTTTTGCATCCCTGGACAGAAGTACTTATTTATAAAGGAATGGCTGTTCTGTACCCACACAAACATTGCTTCCTGTGTCTCACAGCAATTTCAATCACAATCTTAAAATTACTGGAAATCTTCAGAGAAAGACGTTATATCAGTGTAAAGCAGATTATTAAGCAAGTATTGCCCTCCAAAACTGATAGCTGTAGACAGACGATTGGACTGGCAAGATAATGGACACAGGCAGGAATATGCTGCAGGAATATTTAGTTGTTTTACAGATCAAAACTTTTTAACTTCATTTTTATAATTCAGATTTTAGTACATAAAACCCACATTACAGTCAAAAACTTCTAAAACAGCTCTGGTTTCAAAGAAAAACAGAAAGACACTCTTAAGCAGTAAAAGTAACATGTACAAATCTGCTGATTCAAAAAAGTGCTAAATGTAAAGCTACGTTTAAACATATCAGCAGTCTCAATGGGATTATTTCAAAATTACATTCTGGATGGATATTTTAGGAGTGGGGCCTAAAACATAACCTTCTCCATAAAAACAAAAGAAAAGATGTGATGACAAGCTAAAAATGCACAAGGAGACCAAAAAAATGCCAAAGAAATAACATGTAGAAAAAGGAGGCAAGAGTAAGTAAATCACATTGAAACAGAAGCCTGGTTCTGGAGACTTTACTAACACATCAAAACCAAGATCACGACAGTAAAACAGGATGCAGGAGTCACAGAAGCCTGGACTACAATGCCAGAAACAAGCAAAACAGAGAAAGAAAATCTAAAAAAAATCACAACAAAACAACAAAATAAGCTAGGACATCCATGTCTGAAACATTATAGATGATCTGGAAAATGATCCCTCTAACCTAGTGGTTAGGATGGTTAGTGGTCCTGATACTAATTCTCAGCAGCCAGGCTGCAAGCAACAGTCTCAAGAGCTGTCAGGGACTGCGTCGTGTCAGTCCTCTACCCAGCAGCACATCACACCTATCCTCTTTAGAATCTTCAGAGCATACATTTCTTCTTCTTTAATCTCATTTCACTTGACCACAGAGCTTGTCTCAGTTTCCACACATACGTAAGCACTTGCTTAACTTGGACGCATCACCAGTCAGACTGATATTAAATACATCGCTTGCCTTTGAGGCACATCCTTCCCTCCCAAATCCTGCCTGAACCCTCCAACTCTACCAAGCCGCGCTGGGGTTGCCTCCTAGGAGCTCCCCTACAGCCTTTTCAAAAGCAGTCTCTCCGATGTGAAAAAAATCATCCACGTGGACAGTCACTGTGCACCAACACATCCCCTCCCACCCCCACTGCGATGCAAAAAGCAGGTACAGATCTGGTCTATGAGGTTCCCAAAGTCCTCTCCTATAGACCCCCAGGAAGATGCCAGGAGCAGGCAGCAGCTCTGACAACACCCGATTCCTCAGGCAGTGCATGTTACAGCATCCCCCTGCATCTGCACTCTCTCTCACCTGCAGACACTGTGCACAGCAACCCATCTGTACTGTACATTTTTGTCTGGCAGATGTAAGATAAATGACTGCTACTTACTTAGGGGGTAGATGCAGCCCTAAGCAGTATAAGGAGCTGTGTAAATACAGAAAAGCTGCATTTTCTTTCCCTTTTTAGGGAATGGAATTTTTTTTGCCTCTTACCATTATTTCTCTTTGTATCTACTGTGTCTGGTTTTAGTCTCCTGGAGGAATATACAAAATCACTGGTGAAGTACAAGTAACTTGTTACTGCAGCAGCATACGAAAGAAAAATAAATACATGAATAAATATTTAAAAACAGGCACCTGATGTGCCTGTCAAACACTTAATCTGCCACTAGGTAAAATGTGAGCACGTAAAACATCCACTTGCATGCAGATATCCGGTTACTTCACAAGAGTTAGCATGCAGAGGATTTATTTGCTGGCATGTGCTACTCCAAGCTATGCATGTTTTTTTCACGTGCATGGAGGATAGAGGGAAATCACCAAGGCTCTATCAGAAGTCGAATGCTTCTGACACATTTGTTTTTAATTTCTATAAGTGGCAATACCCAGTTCAGATGAAGAATCTGTGTTTTTAGGCTAATCTGAATTTGGATCATTTTACTTACAAAGAAACCTACAATTCTAATCCATGCCTGGCAATTTCAGCTTAGATCTCAGCCCTATTCTTGGCTGCACTTCATGAGAAACCCCAAAGGAAACAGAGCCTTTTTAGAACAGTCTTTTTTTTTTTTCCTCTCCAGAAATAAATTAGTGTAAACATAAGTAAACACATTCACATGAAGACCTCAAATCACCAGCTATGAGGCTTAAATGGCTGCCTGGCTTTAAGATTTAATTATAAGTAAACTAAGGTTCTTCTACAAAAATAGTGATTTAAAAGAGAAAGAAAACCTCTTAGAATTTCCATTCAGGCTGATTACGTTACTCTAAACCTGACTCTGCATTCCCTGCTATACACTTGCTCCACTCGGTCTCATTCCCCACTGATATAAGAGCAAAGATCATGAAGACTCTCTCTAATCTGGGCTGGGTTTTTTTGGTTGCTTTTTTAAAAAAGATTAATTCGACCTATTTATTAAGTCTCCAGAAGTGGAGTGCTCTCACCCCCAAACTGCTAATCATTTTAGCATCTTCTGGAAGAGGCTTGGCTCCACTGTAATCAATGGGTGCACTGAGAGCTTTATGTCTAAGTTTAAATACTTGGCTAATCAGGATCAGGGAGCCTGGCACTTTGCAGTATCGAGCACAGAAAATGCTAATGTTAACCTTCTTCCAAATGAATGCTGGCATTGACTAAATGGCCTTTATACTAAGCCGTATTTCAGTAATAGCAGCGACATGTGCCATTGCTGCAGAAAGGAAGGTCTCACAGTGCAGACCTCAAGGACTGACACAGAGCAATTGTGAGAGCAAATCAATGCAGAGAGGGGTCCTTGGAGTAAAGCAGCAGACAACTTTCCACACTTGTTTGTGGGAGTAACAGAAGGATATTTAGCAGTCTGTGGAGAATTTGATGAATGCACAGTGCTGTAGCCTGAAATCTTTCATTAAAAATGTAACACGCAGCTTCATTTTGCAGCATGCCACACAAATATTTTCCTCAAAATCCTCCCCCTCCAAATGCTCACAGCACTTAATTTACAGCAGTCATTCAGGAGTTATCAAGAGAGGGCTACTCTTCAAAGACACAGGAAAGCAAAAGAGAGGTGGTCACAAAACACTAGGAAAAGCCTGATGACACAGAAACTCAAGCATACAATTTCTGGCAATTACTTGCTCAGGGGGTAGGTGCAGCCCTAAGCAGTATACAGGAAAGCTGCACTTTCTTCCCATTTTTAGGGAATGGCACGGGTTTTTCTGTTACGGTGAAGACACCATAAAAGCTTCTTTACAGATAACAAAAGCCAGGGACCACTACCTACCTTGGATTGCTAACAGCTAGCAGTTCCCTGGTGAAGGCAAACACCTACAGCCAGAAAAGAGATGGGAGAAAGGGGACTCTCATGTGTTTCCCTCACCACTTACTCACTACTCAGACTGGTGGGCAATGCACTTTTTACCCACATTCCTATAATGACTTTTTACCTACTGTGTAACTTTCACTGTCGTCTTCTTGACAGTTTAATCAAACTGTACAGGACCAAGCATGTGTTCATTTTACATCCCTCCACATCCAAGCAAAACATTGAGCCCAGGAGGGAGTAGGACCCAGTGTTTCAAACCTATCCCTCCTCAATGCAACTAGGCATTGTGGTGGCAAGACTCACAAAATGAGACCTTTAAAATCCTTCTATACGCATGTCTCTCATCTTGCTGCTCTAATAAGCAGTTCCATGCAGAGTCTCTCTCAATTACAGCTGGTGATACATTAATTCCATGAGTCATTCACCCAAATTTTCTGAATTTATATATACACTTTTAATTTACTTACCAAATAGGCATCTATACATCAGTCAGCAGTGATTGTATCAATGACCAGCAATACTACTTTTTCTCAAAAACAGCGCAGAAACTACACTGATTGCTTTCTCTGTAAATAACACAAACAAGACAAAACGCCAGATGCTAGCTAATACTAAACCAAATTCCATTGACAAAATGAAAAAAAAAAACCAACTGGGATAACTAAAATTACCAGTTAGCTTTTCGATGATACATTTCCTCTGTAAAAATCTGGAAGGGTAACCACAGACATGTTAGACCCTTCCTAGGGTTTATATCGGACACAGCTGTTCTCTTAGTTCAGCAACAGTGCTGCTTTACAAGAAAGACTGCATACAAGCAGTGAGCTCCAAGAGAAACAGTATTAAGGAAATATGAGCAGAAAAAGTTTGGGAATTTACATTTGATTAGGCACTCATTTATAAAGAAAATTTGCAAGGAATGTCTTCAATTTGCCAGTCATGTTTGGATTTTCTCTGTACTTCCCAACAGGAAAGAATGTTACCAAGGTTTCTTAGGACAAAAATTGATCTACTGATATCTTCTCTGGAATCTCCGTGTCTGGATCTTGAGCCGTGGCTTTATGTTTTGTCTTTTTTTTAAATATCCTACTGCCCACTCCCCCCTCCAAAAAAAAAAGAGGTGGAGGGCAGCAAAGCAGTTCATTTTTAGGACCTATTAAGCCTTCTGACATGTCTAGGAAAAGTTAGCTAAACATATTAACAATACAGTCAGAGACATCATTTTGCAAATGAAGTTTGCACACGAAGGCTATCCCTGGGTACAGATGAGGTTTAGATGAAAGTTCAGAGTTTGAGTTAAGAACACTTCTACCAGCTACTTCATATAAGACTTTGGATGAACGTAGGAGAAGGCTTGTGGTACTGGATAGGAAAGCTTCAGCCTCAACACTGCTTTTCATTCAATTTCTTCTTAGTAGAAAGCAAACTGTGCATTTTGGTAAGGTTTTCTGGAGGGACAAGGAAGAGTTGAAGGGTGAGGTGGGTTTTTTTCAAATTTTTTTAGGCAATTTCTTGGGAAAGCAAAAAATTGCACGAGCAAGTGACTTTTCAGTTGAAGGGAGATGTTTTGCCCTACAGTTCCATGAAGAAAGTAAAAGTAACAGAAATCTCCAAACTGATTAAAAGCACAAAAGCCTGCACAGATATTTCAGCTGGGCCCACAATACTGTGCTGGCATTAGAAAATCAGCTTAAACTGCAACTATAGTGGCATTTTTTAATGAGAAGTCAAATGAATGCAGTTTGGAACACTTCAGTATCTTTCGGCCTACAAGCAGAGGGCTGTTTTTGGAGCTGGAGGTCTTCACAGCAAGTTTTGGTCCATGCAGCCTTAACAGCTTGGCAGCATCTGGCTAGAGGACACTGAGCCCTTGCCCCAGGTCCTCGTGTCCAATGCTGCGGCGCAGGTCTGGCAGGGTGTTGGTGCCAGGTCCCAGCTGGCTGCAGGCTTCCCCTTGCTGCCCTCGTCTGCCTGCCACGGGGCAGATCCCCTCTGGGCAGCCTTGGCCACAATGTCACCAAACCTGATGCACATGAAGAGCCATCAAGACCTTTTGTGTGAGCAAGTTCTCTTGGTAGCAGCAGTGCATCCCAGGCAGCTGGAGAAAGCATCACCTCCTGCCACCACTTCTGGACCTGAGGAGGAGGTCTGTCCACCACCCAGGCTCCTGGCGGGGTCTGCCCCACATCCCCCTCCCCAGCCTGATCTGGCAGAGAGGGAAGTGCAGCAACAGCAGTCTGCCCTGGCGAGAGTCAGTGTTTAACCACTTCTCCTTGGTCCTCCGGAGACTCGTGGCAGCAGCTTCTCCCCTCGACAGACAGATGCATGCATGACGCACGCAGGGCTGAGCAGCAAAGCCTGGCTCACATTAATGAAGGTAAAAAAACCTCAGTCCCAAAACACGCAGGGTGGTGCCATGATTAAAGCTACTTGACCCCGCAGGGCCTAACTGGTATTTTCATTCCTATGAAGCCGCAGATGACTCTATTTCTGGTAAGCCGTTAGATTCACACCAGAAGAACTGCATGGTATACGCTGGGGCTGATTAGAGTTGTCAACATAGGAAAAAACGTTTTGGTCTCTAAAACTCCTAGTCTCCTCCGTGGTTTCTTAAAAGCAGCTCTGTGAAAAGAGCTGAGGGATGGAGAAGCAGGAGGTGGTCTGTGTTTGTCGTCTGCAGTGACTGACACACACTGCTACTGTCAAGGCTTTTCCTCCTCTTGTGTCTACAGAGGCACCTCCAGCCTAAAGCAGCAAAAGCCCGTGGTCCTGCCTGGCCACTGCCAGCTGCCAGAACCCCCCTCACTGCCCAGCCTGAGAGGGCAATTGACGACCCTGCTAAATCTGCCCCTGTGCTATTCAGCTTCTTCAGGGGGAACAATGAGGTTTCCAGGCAACTTTCACAAAGCTGAGTAGTATTTATTGAAGAAAAAAAAGCATTTGTAGAAAAGCACAGCCGCAGAGCGATGAACACACAGACAGTTCACCCAGGCAGCCGCCACCTTCCTCCTCCTGGATGGACATCCCTGACAATGGGAGCTCCATGGCTGTCTTCTCCCCAGCTCACCTTACTTTAAAAACTTTAAAGTACTTTAAAAAGTCTCCCTCCGGGGACTGAGATTTATCATTTGACCCTTTGTTTGCTGTGGCCACTGGACTGGTACACAGAGCTGATGTTTCCCAGCCCCGGGGGATGAATTCCAAAGACTCCTTTCCCAGCGGAGAGCTTAGATTAACCACCAGCCCCACCTCCTGCCCTGTCCTTTGCTCCTCCAGAAAGTTCAGAAATACAGCTGCTAGCAAGCCTGTCAAAAACCATAAAAGTAGTACAATTAGCCCTGAAATGCTCTGTGACTGTGGCATCTGGTCTTAGCTACTACGACACTGACAATGCCTTCCAGCCTCGATCCGACAGCATGCCTGGGAAAGTCTGGCAAAGGTCCAGCTTGTGCTGTCGCCCTCTGTTTCTCGTTGAGAGGAGTTGCTCCATTGCGCTGGGGACACTTGAACTTCTAAGAGCTATTTGGCAACAGCCAGGTCCTGTCCTTGCTCTCCCTCTTGAAGTTACATCATGCGCCAGTTACACCAGATCTTCTGTTTGTCTCAAACACAAGCATGTGGGTTTGTTTTCCTTCACAATGACCTCACAGATTTTTATACACTTCGTAAGTTTTCTTTCTGTCTGTTCCAGCCAAACCAGTCCCAGTGAGCTGTTGTTCAGAGCACTCAGTTCTCCTTTTCATGCTGTTCATTACAAAATTTTGACAATTTTTTATCTGCTGGTACAAAGGCTGCCAGGTTCTTCTCTGGTATCTCTGGTTTTCCTTGCAACAGCTCTTACAAAATGCCATCTCTGTGATTTCTATTAGCTGGTACACTAGAGCAGGACGTAGGTTAGATTCTCTGCTGTGAATTTACGAATCGGAAGTTAATTCAGAAAAGCCTTTTCTTTGTTCTTTGGCATCCAGTACACAGGGAGTATTAAATATAAAAAACAGATAAAGTAGAAATCATCAGGCAACTATTTGTTTACAGTGCTCACCTCTTTCATTACTATCTCTATCCCTTTGTTAAATCATGTTTCCACCAGGTTCAAGCACACAGACGAAAGCACTGTGATAGCTCTTCCAGCACAGCTGCTTGTCCTGGCAGAGCACATCCCAAGGCCGCTTTCCTTCAGCAAAAGAATATGAAGTTTCACTCCTATAGTATTCCACTGCAATATGTTGTCTGTTTACCTTGCTCATTGCTCCTTTCTTTCATTTCTTTATGTGGATGCATCTGGTGTGATGTGGTGGAGTATACCTGTAACGTACCACGAGCTCTGCTTTGTATTATGTATTGAGCTTGTCTCAGCCTGCCCAAGGCAAACCTACTGATCTGCAGTCCACACGGCTTTGGCACTTTTTTGAAGAAAAATCCATCAGATTTGCAACCCAGACCAAACTGGCCCTGTTGGCTGCACCCTACAGGGGAACCACCATGAGGAAGTTGGTGAGCTAGACCATCAGACAGAGGACTTCTCATCATGTTTTTAGAGAGAGGGTTTCTGGGCCATGCTTCTCGTTGGATCAGAAAGACAAGCACAGTCACGAGGAGTAAGAGTTTGAGAGGGAGAAGAAAGAGACGCTTCAACTCAACCAACCGTGATTTGGTTGCCGCATGTCAGGATTTCCATTAATCTGGAAGATCATGCTTTTGTGCTTCAAAAGCAAAGACTTCTTGCTTGAGAAACTTCCTCAGTATGCTCCAAAGAGGCTAAACTAAAAGCCCATGGTGCTCTTCATCTAAGCAAAACTCTGAAGCCAATTTGCACTCAGCCAGGGAAGTGATAAGGCTCTGGTCGCTACAGCCAGTGGCCCCAGAAGGGAGAGGACAAGTGAGCCTTGGAGCTGGGATGAGCAGGAACAAGAATTTGCCCAGCATGACTTGGCTTGGGTAAAGGAGGGAGTGGGGTCACAGCACACAGAGAGTCATGGGCCAGGCTGCAGCACTCTCCTTGTGGGAAGAAAAACCCCTCGCAGGGCAGCCTTCTGGAGCGCATCTGCAAACTGCACTCCATGGAAGATGATAAAAGCAACACTTTTCTACTGCGTGGATCTGCTGTCTCTGGGTCTGCCAAATCGCTTGGCCTGCTGCACTACCCCAAAAACCAGCTCATCTGCCTAAACACTTGTCTGCCTCTCTCAGCTACATCAGATCGACTAATAAAATGTAACCTTTGCCCACAAGCCTTGTCCCTCCAAGAAAAGTTATAACGTGCGTGGACTGTATGAATTGCATTTACTCCGACACTCACCCAGGCCCTAGTTCCTACCTAGACTGAAATATACGGTTTCAAAATATTTGAAATATTTGGTTGCACTGGCTTCAGAAGTTGAACTCCTGTCAGTTCGGTTTCCTGCTTTCTGTAAGCTTGGTGGTTTTATACACTTTTTCTATATCAGGATCATTAGGATGACTGGCAGGCTCATGGTGGGCTGATCAGTGGTCTCATGTCACAAAATACAAACAGAACTGCTAACAGATGAGGTACATATTTATACCCATGCCCTGAAATAGCTGGCTGCAGAAAGTGCTTACAGGTGAGCTGATCAGAGCCTGACGGGTGCTAGCAGCTGCTGCTGTGGCAGGGCCCAAAGTGGTTTCCGCCCGGGGGCAGCTCAGCCACCAGCCCAGCAGTCCCTCGCTCCCTCCTCCTCCTCAGTGAGGTGGAGAGGAGAAAAATGTGACAAAAGCCCCGAGGGTTGAGATAAGAACAGGGAGGGATCGCCCATCGACCATGGCCCTGGGCAAAACAGACAATGTAATTCTTGAACAGTTCATTTGGAGAGGATAAACAAAGCCGGATCTTAAGGAGACCTTAAGATCCCTTCTTCCGGCTCTACCTCCTCCGCCCAGCAGTGCAGGGGGACCGGGAATGGGGGGGGTTGCAGGTCAGTTCATCACCCACTGGTTCTGCCGCTCTTTCCTTAATGAGGAGGACTCCTCACGCTCTTTCCCCAGGGAATCCCTCCTCCTGGCAGACAGTCCCCACAGCCTTCTCCGACGGGAATACTTCCCGCAATCCTGACCCATCAGACTGCTCCAGCACGGGCTTTTCCCATGGAGTCACAGCTTCTTAGAGCGCAGCCACCCACTCCAGTGTGCCGTTCCTTCCCATGGACTGCAGGTGGATTTCTGCTTCACCGTCAGTCTCCAGCAGCGTCAGGGTCCTTCCCATGGAGACAGTCCTCAATACCAACCTTGGGTGCAGGCATCTCTGCTCCAGTGTGGGGTTCTCTAAGAGCAGCGGGTGGATCTCTGCTCCACCGTTCATCTCCTGGGGCGGCAGAGGGGCCGCTGCTGTCTCAACATGGGCTGCAGGGGAACCCCAGCTCCGGCACATCTCCTCCTGCTCCATCTTCACTGACCTGGTGTCAGTGTGGCCATTTCTCTCAGATCTCAGTCCTCTCTCTGCTGCAGACACACCAGCCCTGACCATCCCGATGAACCTTGGCAGTCCCGGCAGGACAAACTCTGCCCAGTGGGCACCCTGGGAGTGGGCCACTTCAGCGCTCTCCAACCTGCACCACTGTAGCCATCTCTAGTCGCATGGCAGTGACCCAGTTTGGGCAGCTGACCACCCGGGAGCCCAGCTCTCCACCTTCCACCTCTCTTCAATGCAGGTCCAGCACAGTTTGGGCTCCTTTGTCCCCTTCTTAAATAGGGCATTCGCAGAGGCACTGACTCACTTGGCCCTGGCCTGAGGCGAGGGGGGTCTGACCTGGCCAGAGGCTTGTCCGACTGGTTTTGGAGCCAGGGAACCTTCCCGCAGCTCTTTACAGGGGCCATCTCTGCAGCCCCTCCCCTGCTACCAAAACCCCATCACATAAACCCAGCACAGCCTCTTAGCTGCTGCTTTGTTTACTCAATGGCCACTCTCGAGTAATCCACACTGAGAAAGCAGCCGCAGTGACTCATCTTCTGCCCCAGCAAGCTTCAGCCTGGACCAGGAACATGCAATGGAGAAGATTCAGCATGTGCAACCACAAAACCTGCAGCCAAGAAACACATCTATTGATGCTGAACATGACAACCACCAAGACGTCGGCTAATATTGCCTGGAGCTCTGCAAAACTGCATCCGGCAGTTAGGCACTTCAAAGATCAACATTGGCGGCTTCAATTTACCAGGGAGTCTTCTAGGCTTGCAGTCCTGCACACCATTCCTGCCTGGCAGGTGGCTGGTAGCAACTGAGGATGTGTGTGAGTGTGTACAGAAAGACTGAGCCAAATATCACAAAATCGGAGAATGGGGTTTTTCAAGGGTTTTTAAAAATAGAATCATAGAATGGCATAGGCTGGAAGGGACCTTAGAGATCATCTAATCCAACCTCCCTGTCATACGTAGGGACGCCTCTCAACTAGACCGTGCTACTTACGGCTCTGTCCAACCTGGCCTTGAACACCTCCAGGGAGGGGGCATCCACAACCTCTCTGGGCAATTTATTCGAAAATCTCACCACCCTCCTACTGAAGAATTTCTTCCTAAAATCTAATCTAAATCTGTTCTCCTTCAACTTAAACCCATCTCCCCTTGTCCTATCAGTGGACACTCTTGTAAAAAGTCCCAGGTTAGACAACTGTAATCTCTAAAACATCTCATGAACATTTTAGGGGAATGGAAAGTAGTTGTACATTTAATCCTGAAATCCACATTTGCCCTTTGAGCTTTAAGTATAACCTGTTGAACTGTCACATTCATTAGATATCGAATCCCTGTGTCCCGAGGTTTTTGTCAAAGGATTTTTCATTCAAGTATAATACATCCAGCTTCCTGCCTCTTCCCTTCAAGCAGGAAGTAAACTTCAAATGATACACATCCATGCTCCATGGTAGGGTACATCCATCAGAAGCTGAGCACAGGGGCTCTGGTCATAACGCTACTCCTGCAAGGGAGCTCCTTTTGACAAACATGAATGATGACTTCTGGCCGAGCATCCTTAAACAGAAACCGTTAAAACTGGCAAAATTCAACAACACATTGATTTCACAGGCCAGGAGGCCTGGAATTCAACCCATTAGGCTACTCTGAGCTTTGTTTTTTGTCTTCTATTTTTTTTTTAAGTGAATAATTTTTAAAATATGAAATGCTACAAATCAAAAGGCAGGGATGAAAGCTTGCTCTGTTTTTTCCATAAACTTGCATGTACTTACTAACTCCAAAACGATTTTCTAGTTTTCACAGAGATTGTAGAAAATTGCACAATGATAAATTTACTGCTGGTTTCAAAATGCAGAAGATCCCAAAGTATTTTACAGGATGCTGTGGGCCTCTGTGAAGAGGGGCTGATGCCTCTCTATTCTACTATTGTCTCAGCCTCGATAGTTGCAGTTTCTAGTACCACTAGAAAGAGAATCAGTTGTGGAGCTTCAATTCCGAGCACTACATTCGGACTACCCAGAACTATGTTTCTAAGGACCATTTGGTGTCGAAAGCAAAAGACAC